CAGCAGGGAACTTCACACAGCTCCAGAGATCTGTTGAAGGTCTGTGTAAAGATGGGGGCCAGTTGGTCAGCGCAGACTTTTAAACAGGCAGGTGAAACACCATCTGGGCCTGAAGCTTTCCTAGATTTCTGCTTCCTGAAGACCCGGTTCACATCCTCCTCAGACCAGTCCATACTGACCGCGAGTCGTTGGCTGAAAACACTGAAAACTGAGTAGGTTTAAAAAAAGAACATTGAAAAAGAACCAGCTCATAAAAATTATTTATTCGGAAGTCAGACTACACTGCGGACACTGCACAGTATGTGTTTGATTCACTACAAAGAACCAGCTCATTAGTGATTCGTTCGCGAGTCGGAGTACTGGGTGTGCTGAATGTGTTTCATTCGCAAAAAAATAAATTAATTAATAAATAAATAAAAAGTGTTCATAAGAGTCATTCATTTGACGACAGTCGAATCCATTTTTTTGGATTCACTAAAAAGAACCGATTCGTTTAGGAGACGAACAACACTGGGGGACACTGTATGTTTTTTGGTTTACTAAACTAACTAGCTCGTAAGAATAATTTTTTGGCAGTCAGTTGCACCGAATGTGTTGATTTTCCAAAAAGAACCGGCTCAAAAGTGTAATTCACTCAGCAGTTCAATGTTACTAGTTGCGCTGTATGTTCTTGAAAAACCAGTTCAAAAAGAACAAGTTCATAATAGCCATTTGTTCTGTAATCAGACCGGTTCTGGCTTCCGACCCTAGTTCGCAATTATGAATTATTCATTGTCCTTTCTCTACTGTTACTTTAATAATGGTACATTCATGTAATTATATCGTTGAAATTAATTGAAATTATTAATATAACTGTTTCTAAGAGCAAGAAATTGCTTGAGAGCTCTAAAGCATCTGAGCAGCTAGAGAATGTAGGGTTACTGTATATCTTTTCCTGGTGTTTGAAGAATGGAGTAAAAAAATGTATGTGTTGCTATTTTTTCTATTTTCACCTGTAGTCTTTTGAGTTTCAATATGTCTGTATGTCTATCTAAAGTTATGTGCCATATGAAATGACATTTACACGGATGACATTTGGGATGGAAATACACATGCAAATAAAGATAAATGAGAATGGAAGGGTAAAAATATTTAAATTAAATGATTTATTTAGAGTCCCGTTACAACAGCAGAGGAGGCTTTGCTGGCCCTGAGAGTTGATCTGTATAAAATGTGTGTGGAGTTGAAGCTGAGAACATGCTTTTCTACTTGCTTGCTATATATAAATATATATAATATAAGGATTCAGGGAGTTTTTTAACCTTCCTCTTAATTGATGGCATTGTAGAAGTCAACTCAGAGTGAATCTTCGGACCCCAACACCTTCCTGCTAGATATCATCTCATACTACACACGTGTCAGCCAGCATCCGGTGCACCTTCCCATTTACTCTGTCAAGGTTAGATTGAATCTTGCAATGATTATCTTCTTGTCTTAGTGAATGAATCAATACTTCTATGAAAAGTGAATTATCCTTGTGCTTACCAAACGTTTGTCATGATTGTGGAGATTGTAGGTTGTTTTCCATGACAAAAGGTGAATGTCTGTATGTTCTCATGTCTAGATCTGCTTCTCTGGCCTCAGCAGCACCACAGTGGAGGAGGTGTTTGTGGCTCAACTCGCCATGGACTTTCCCGAGGTCAAACGCTGCAGAGCCACATTTAAAGACACAATTAAAAGTGCTGATGTCATTCTAATGTTTTAAAATACATCATATAATTACATCATATATCTCAGCACTTTTCATCTGCTTTTACTAAATGTTTGCCATCAATTTTGCCTTAAAGGTTCAGTGCGTTACAAAAAATACAACCCACAAGAATTTCATGGTGCAGTCGTGTCAATTAATTATAAAAAGGTAAGTATTTTATTGATATTTTTGGGGGATGATTTAAAATTTTAGTATTAGATTTTTTTAAATGTACACTGCCATTTCAAAGTTTGGAGTTGGTAAGAGTTTTTACAAGTGAAAGAATGCTAAGGCTGTATTCATTTGATGAAAATTGCAGTAAAACAGTAATATTGTGAAATATTATTACAATTTAAAGTAAATGTTTTCTATTTGAATATATTTAAAAATGTAATTTATTCCTGTGATGTAAATCTAAATGTTCAGCATCATTACTCCAGTCTTCAGTGTCACACGATCCTTCAGAAATCATTCTGATATGGTATTTGATATGATTTTTTTTTGTTTTTGTTTTTTTTTACCAATTTAGTGAGTCCCTGCTGAATAGAAGTATTAAAATCTTTCAAAATAATATATATATTTTTTTTTTATAAAAACACATTTAAATTAAATACTTGCTTTATGTGCAGAAAATAATATGCAAAATAATTGCATGAAGTTTAGTTAGTGTTCTTACAATACAGAATCTATGTCATAAAAGTTTTTGTATTTACATTTCTTTAGGCCTCAATAAGTGACAGAGAAAAGGATATGGGAATGTCTTTGCCGACGAGTGGCATGTTGATCAGTGTCTTGCCTTCCTGCAGAGTCAGAAGTATGTCACATACTTAATAATAATTTATATATATATATTCATTATTTCCGTTAGCATGTTTTTAGTTTGACTTTTAGTTTTAGTTAATGATAACACACTCTTGGCTGGCAGTATTTATTAAAGACTTACACTGACAATGTATTTTCACCAACAAGAAGTTACTGATACATATTTTAAATGAGGAAAAGAAATAAAAACACAGGTTTCCTTGTTTGTAATGTGGCACTTTGGTCCTACAGGTCTACATAGTGTCAGCATAAGTGTCCAAGATATGAATCCCACAAGGCCCAGCAGAGTAAGTGAACATGTAGAACATATAACCGAGTGGTTTTTCTGTAACGTTCCAGATTATACATTTAGTCATCTTGAATGAAATATTGAGGTAAAAATCCTGTTTTGTCTCTAGCATTCGCTCAGAGCTGTTAGCGCCAGTATCAGAGTTCTGGAGGAGCAGACATTCACAGTATGTTTGGATAAAGACCCACGTAAAACATTCAAGAATGTCCAGAGGTGAAGAGTCCGATTATAATGCCTTTCTATACATAAATTCTCAACATGTATTGCTTTTATTAATGGCTAACATGACCTCTTATGTGTAACATATGTTCCAGAGAAATCATGCATGTCATCTTTTGCCCACAGCATCGAAGTTTCTCCATGCTTGGACCCGGGATACTCTCATCAGCCGAGTACAAAATCCAAGTACAGTTTGGGAGAGGGAGGTGAACTGCTGGGCAAATATGTCAACAAGACCCTCACGCTACCAATCAACACCTTCTGTGGCACTGAGCAATGACAATACGACTCGAATTCATGATATAAGAGCTCGAGTCACGAGACAAACTGAAACCTCTTACATCTCAGAGGCTTTTAGTGTTTTGTATGTGTGCATTTCCTCTTTTTATCTTTTCTCTGTTGCCTAAAATACATGTAACCTCAAGAGGCTATGACTTCCTGCTGAACTGTGAACAGACGTGATGTTTCATAGACTGTTTGAACGTGTTGAAATGTCCTCGATCTTTGTAAAACGTCCTGCTGTGTGCATTTTAAAATGTTATGTTTACACTACTTTTTTATTTTCATGACAGTGTTTGTATGATACTCGGATGTGTAATTTAACACTTTGGAAGCACTTAGACTTTCATTTGACACTTGCCATTAACTAACACGTTACACGATAGAAAATAAAACGCATTGAAGATAAAGGCTGCATCCAAAATCGCATACTCTCTGAGTAGGCACTTCTTTTGAATAAGTAATTACTTCACGACTGTTAAAAAAAGTATGTTATAGTATAGAAGTGTGTATAGCCTATGAATGTAATCTGGACATACAACATATGCCATGTTGTTACTTCACGACTGTTAAAAAAAGTATGTGGGGAAAGTTACTTTTAAAAGTAATGCATTACAATATTGCGTTACTCCATAAAAAAGTAACTAATTATGTTACTTAGTTACTTTTTATGGAAAGTAATGTGTTACGTTACTTTTGCATTACTTTTTAAATCTGGACAGGGCTTGCTTGTTTGCTTTTAAAATAAAAAAAAAATCTATTTTTGGCAAATATAAAAGCCTTTTCACACCAAAAGTGAAATGAATAAGCCTCAGGCTGAAGGGAAAGTAAATTTACGTCCGTACAGTAGAATGCACTTCAGCAATAAAAAAAGACACACAAATGTTTGTCTAGAGTAATTTTTGCTTATTGGTACGGTTGAACTGGATCATCGAAGGTCAGAAGCAAAGACATTGGTTAATAGAATGGGATTAAATACATAAAGGATATTTGTGTTGTTTAACATTTAATTATTGCAGGTTTGCGTCATATTCTGAGTTGCATTATTTTTATTCATTTTGAGGAATGCTGAATCTGTGGGTGGGGTTTTTTTGTGAGTGAGATGAATTAATGCATATTCATATTTATTTTAGAACTACAGTAACATCTGATTTTTTTCTCAACATGGCGACAGGAGAGCTGTTAATCAATAAATTGGAAAAAAAAAAAGTAACTTGTGTTACTTATTTGAAAAAGTAACTCAGATATTCTTTTGTAAATTAAAAAGTAATGCGTTACTTTACTAGTTACTTGAAAAAAAGTAATCTGATTACGTAACTCGCGTTACTTGTAATGCGTTACCCCCAACACTGTCTATATAGTATAGAAGTGTGTAGTAGCCTATGAATGTAATCTGGACATACAACATATGCCATGTTGTCACTGTCATGTGATCTACGCCATCATTTGCATCCCGTGGTTTCATGGGATAGCAAAGTGTCCATCGTAACTGGGTACTTTTCACCTACTGTTTTATGAATACTATGAATTTGGACATACTTCTCCTTTCACACACTGTTTTTCGTCTACTGTATAGTAGGAAAGTATGCCATTTTTAGATGCAGCATTTGTTGTAGGCATTTTGGATCAGAATAGCATGGTACCCTAGTTTTTCTGCAGTATGCAGTATATACACTGTGTGCAATATGTAAATATGGAAACCTGTTACATTTGCCGAAATGTGCATTTGCAAGGAAAATGTTTGGGATATTGTATTTTACAATGCAATGCGCTCGACTTTTATTTACTGTGACAAATGAACATGAGCTAACAAAGTTTTCTTCTTGACATTTTTTTATCAGACTGCCAGTAACTGTAAAGTAATATACTTTAATTTTATTACTCGTTGAATTAAACGTGCAGCGTAAATGATTCTGTAAATATACTGTAAGTTCATCCTCTCACCAAAAGGTGGAGTTGTAAACTCAAAAAATAGAATTTGCTCTAAGCGCTGAGGTCGGCCATTGAGAAGGAAAACTTGTTACACCTCACCTGGATGCGGTGTGGACATGAAAAGCCAAAGAAAACTTTAATCGACAATATTCTGTCACGCAAACCATGAGTTTACGGATACGATAGATCTCAGGTAAACAGCAGACGCTCAGCAATCTCGTGACGCGTTACAACAGGTGCGCGATGATGCTAACTTTCCTGTTACTGAGAGTTTGTCGTGTCTTTTTTCTTTCTTTAAGCCAGTTTAAGCGATTTACAAGATTACAAGAGGCTGTATAGAAAACATCTGCTAAAACTGCTTGTTGGAAGTCTTTCAGGTTTCATTTTGTGAAATTGCAGTACACTGACTGCACGCTCTCTTCCGAATTTTTTTTTAAATAGATACTTTTAATGAACTTTGCACTCATGTGATGTTTCATTTTCTAGAAGTGTCCTGTTTTAGGAAATCATGGTGAGGGGATGTGTACATATCATTTAAACGCGGTTTGCTGAACACAGTTTTGCTCCATATGGAGCCTATTAACCCATGTTGTTTATGTTATGTTATGTTATGTGTTGCAATATACAATGATGATATCATGGTACTCTATGAAACCCTTCGAAGTACCATTTAAATACAATAGTACATTGTTTTCTTTGGTGTAAAATAGTGTTACCCATTAGAAATAGAAAATATAAAATGAAATACTTTCTACCATCAAAAAGTATCATTTACTTTAGTACTGATATAATACCATGTTTATGAACATTTATTTTTATATATATTTATAAAAATATATGCATAATTAATTTCACATATATACAGATATAATTCATATTTATATTTATTGTATTGATTTAATATTTAATTTAAGATAAATAATAGCATGCAACTGAAATTCTGTGTCAGGGCTGAAACAGGGGTGTCAGACTGGAGGGCTGGAGCCCTGCAGAGTTTAGATTCCACCCTAATTAAACACACCAGATTCAACTAATCAAGTCCTTCAGGCTTATTTGAAAACTACATGGTATGTGTGTGTTGGAGCAGGGTTGGAACTAAACTCTGGAGGGCTCCGGCCCTCCAGGATTTGAGTTTGACACCCCTGGTCTAAAATAACATAACATCTAAGAATGGAACAAAAAGTCTACACATTCCACAAAAAGTCCCATGGTACTACCATAATAACACCTTTTTTTTTTCTTTTTGCACAAACTGTTATTTTTTACATTCATCATCTTATACAACCACTTTACCATTGTTCTGTAAACTTGCATATATTTTTTCCATTTAATTTTTTTCTTTTTCTTTAAACCACACAGAGCGCTAACTGAAGTCGACAAACATGATGAAGAATGGAGCAATGCAGAAGAGCAAGCAGTGGAATGTGAAGGGAGCTATCTGGCTGGCGGGTGTCTTTCACTTCCTCCATTCCTGTGGCTCTGGTTGCCTCCTTCCCTTCCTGACCCTCTACTTCCGGCAACTGGGTCTCAACGCCACCATGATTGGAATCATCATGGCGTCCAAGCACCTGCTCGCCCTGGTGTGGCGCCCATTGTCCAGCGTCTTCACCAGGCAGTACGACAAAAGGCGGACGGTCATAGTGGGCTCCCTGCTCAGCTCGGCATTGGTGGTTTTGACTCTTCTGCTCTTTCCGTCCACAGGAATCCAAGCTGAAAGTGGATGGTGTAACTCTAGTCAACACGATACTAATCCTACCACCATTCTAGAGTGGGCGACGATTCCATCGCAATCAAATGCTACTGTTTACTCAATAAACCAAACATCTGTAAGTACCGAACAACCTGTTGAAGTTACCACAATTGTAAGTTCCAACTGGTCAGCAAGAGGCCTGAGATCTGTGAAGAAGCCTCAACAGGAAGAAGACCCTCACACTGAGTTCCTGGGAAGCCTGAAAGTTATGGATGCCCAGCATCAGATGTTCTTTCTGGTTCTCATTGTGATGGGTTTGTGGGAGTTCATGGCCGCCCCGTTGGAATGGACGGCTGATGATGGACTCTACGAATACTTGGATTTCGTAGACGCCACCGACCACCATAATGGCGTGAAGGTCTGGAAGCAGCTTGGAGCTGCTTTTGGCAACTGTGCAGTTGGAGTTCTTGTAACCAGCCTGTTTTGTCTTACAGGAACTACATTGGAGTTTTACTCCTACACTACATTTATGATCCTAACCGTCCCTACAGCCGCCCTTCTTCCAATCTACCTACGCAAGCGTGAGCGGCCCACTAGTGCAGGCTTTAAGGCACTACAATTGGTGCGTGGGAACTCGCAGGCGATACTTTGTGCCGTCACTGTCATTTTGATGGGCATGGTGAACTCCGCTGTATCGGATTTCCTCTTATGGCACATGCAGGACTGCGGTGCCATGGAAATCCACATGGGCATCTCTTTAGCCTTGGCGCACTTAAGCCAAACTGGCTTTGCTCCAATTGCTGGCCATCTCTCCCGGTTTCTAAAGTACCACGGTTGGTTACTAGTACTCGCCGTTGTTAGTTTAGCCCTACAGTGTCTTTATTACTCCTTCCTGTGGGGCCCGTGGGCTGTAATACCCGCTCAACTGCTGGCGGGCTTCAGCACCGGCGCCCTCTGGTGGTCCGTAACATCACAAAGTGAAGACATCGCCACTCCCGGCACTGAAAAGACCATTTTAAGGCTGTTTGAGGCACTTTCTCTGGAGTTGGGAGCGGCGTTTGGCAGTCTGGCGGCTGGGTTTGTGGTGCAAAAGTTTGGGGTCCAAGTGCTTTTCCAAGGCACAGCGGTCATTCTGGCTTTGTGGAGCAGCGCTCTTGCCGTACTCAAGTGGAAGATTCCTCGGCAGCGCCAGATAAACTACTCACGCCTGCTGGCCGCTGACACCGAGATGAGCGAGTCGGAGTCAGATCAGGAGAAAGACTGGCTTGAGACGGCTATGGAAGACGCTACAGGAAATAACAAGTGGACAATAGATAAGTCTTAATCAACTTGTTAACAGTTGGCAAATAAAAAACTAAGAGTGAAATATCACTAATACTGTTCAGTATCTGCAAAGAATTATTTTCTTACTCCTACTCCATATTTTTGTAATGTTTTCCCATGTAAATATCTAAACATTTTTAAATAAATATGCATTTACTTGAGAAGTATAATGACAAACAAGAACACAAGTCTTGTTTTCTAAGAAAATGTATCAAAATTGACATGAAACATGATTCAATATCTTATGTCATTATAGTTCTCAAGAAATTAAGTCTTGTTTTCTGATAAAATTATCAAAATTAATTACGTGTATGTGTAAAACAAGAAAAAAATATCTGTCAATGGGATAAAAAGAATAAATTCATTCAAATGGAAAACAATATTAATTTTCTTACCACACTGGCACCACATTAATGACTTAATATCTTAACATCTGAAGTCATTTTCCTTCTCAAGTAAATGCGTCTTGATTTAGTTTTTAATTATTTGTGATGGAAAGCAAGCAAAAAAAATTTTTGCAGTCCATAAGGGCATGTTCTCATTCATCTTTATCATAATAACATTCATCATGGATGAAGTTATTTCAATTAATTACTCTCTCAAGCCAGATACATTTTTATTTGGGATTATTTAAAGCTTTGAGAGAAGAATTATAGCTCCAATACCTATAGGATCTTTGAATATCCTAAAATGTACATCATCTTTTGTGTGTGAAGATTTGTTGTTTAACAGGTCAGCTCTTTCCTAGACTGAAGGGCTGGAGATGAGCTAATCTGGTTTGTTTGCTTACAGTAGGCATTTGCTCTCTGCCAAACAGCAATAATCATGTGAGCAAATAGTGCCTGTTGTTTCATCTTCACACCCTTTCGTTACCACTCATTTTTATGTTTTGCAAATATTTGTGATCTGAAGCTAAGCCTCAGTTACATGTTATGCAGAAATTTTATTTATTGTGCATGAGGCACTCAAATTCTCCACAATTGGGTATCACTTGAACGAGGGTTTATTGAAGATAATCATAATAAAAGTATCTTACTTCTAGTTTAAGGGATTGTGAACAAGATGTTTGACTTAGAAATGAAGTTAGCCAAACCTGTTTTGAGGGGAAAAAAAGCTTTTCAAACTTGTTCTTGAGTACATTTCCCTTTACAGCTGGTCTATAGAGTGTAGAGCAGCGTACTTGTGACTGACACTCTTTTTTTTTTTTTTTTTTAATTAAAGGAAGGATGGGAATAAATATTCTTAACGTCATGTTTGAAATAAAAAACATCTAATAAATGATTATTTCCTCTTTCAACAAATGCATGAAGTCAAGCGTTTGTCATTTTGTCTAAATGTCTTGATAAGCTCTGCATCGTAACAAGTGGTGTACTTTGACCCAGCCTTAATCATTTTATTGCATTGTGTAAATAAATCAATGAATGTGAATTTGCCATGTTAACATTTCATGGCATAGCAGTGTGTCAGTGTTTATGTTGTTTCCTTTAGATCAAAATTAAAGCTCAGATCTAACCGCAAGCATTGACACCAGGGTCAGACTGCATAGCTAAAAGTGCTTTCTCCTCAAAGGGTTAATCCGTCAATGCAACCAGGCTGGTAATGGTTCAGCAAGATCGCAACACTTCCTCAAGCTGAAACCCAACCCATGCACACAAAGGTTTTCTGTAGGCCTCATTCACAGTTGCAACCGTATGTTTAACTTTTATGTCCTGACTGTTGACTGGGATAAACCACTTGTTTTACAATCCAAATTAATTTAAGCACATGCTTATGTTATCCTAAAGGCTGTAACAGACTGGTAAAAAAAAGTTTCTAAGAATTTGTGACATGGATCATTCTTTTATTGACAAGGCTGTTACATTGTATAGCCAGTCTAAAAGTGTTTTCTAATTAAACAATGAATTCATGTAACATTAATGTCTGGCATTTATTTGTATTTTGTATTTTATTTATTTATTTATTTTTAATATGAACATGGCATCATGTCCGCTGACCCAAAGACAGAGTGATTCATGTTTTAAAGGTAAGTACAAGTCATAAGTTAGGCTACTTTGAGTTTTTACTTTCCACATTTGTCAACTTAAAGGGGTCATATGATGCGATTTCAATTTTTCCTTTCTCCGAAGTGTTACAAGTTCTTGGTGCATAAAGAAGACTAAAGTCTCAAATCCAAAGAGATATTCTTTATAAAAGTTAAGAGTCAACCACGCCTACCTAAAACAGCTCGTTCTAGCACGCCCCCACATGTCTACGTCACGATGTGGGAAGATTTGCATAACGCCACCCAAATGTTCACGCAAAGAAAGAAGGCATAACTTTTATTCTCGCTGTAGTATTGTTGCTGCCGCCATGTTGTGAAGGCGCTGTGTTTTGTTGTGAAAGCGAAACTACTTTGTTTGGCCTTCCAAAAGAGGACGATATCCGCTTTGTCATGCCTAGAGCTGATCTGTGCTGGTTGCTGAGGAAATACTTCAAATTCGCGCTGTGGATCGCCGGATCGGCTTTCACCGTGTACGAAGCGGAGTCCAGCCCGGAGTTGTCACATGTGGTTGCCGCATGCCTGCCGGACGCTCCTTTGTCGAATCCACCACCTGTTCTGACGATTTGTGCTACCCTGTCAGATTTTGCTACCTCCCATTAAAACAGATGGTAGCATAATTTGATAGCGAAAAGTGCTATCTATCAGATTTTGTTTCCAGCATGATTTCTTAAAGGTGTGAGGCTTTATTAACACGTACACCTAACCCAACCCTAAACCTACCCTTACAGTAGGATAAATACAGTGTTGGTAGCATAATCTGATAGGTAGCATTATTTGTCAGAACACCGGCTGCGCCGTTCTCAAGCCCGCCGGCCTCCATTCACTCAAGCCCGCCGTGTGTGACGCTGTGTGTTTCGTTGTGAAAGCGAAACTACTTTGTTTGGCCTCACTTGTTGTTTGTAATTTCTCTGATCACAAATGCAGACATGGTTTTATGTTTACGCGGCGCGATGCAACGCAACATATAAAAAGAAGACAGTATAAGTCATTACAATCCGTAATTATGTCCCCACTGCATGCAACAAATGCAGTGGGG